CTGGTGCATGGAACCACAGGACTGCTGGTGCTAACCTGGGAATCCTCCCCATAGCGTCGGGAATGGCGGAGTCTTCCATAGCATGGGCTTGCCCTGAAGGACGTTTGTCTTGGAAGATCGTGTCTCCTAACGCGACGCAAGTGAAGCAGCGTTCGCCGCGGTATGTGGCAAGACAATCGTTATTCGCCGCGCTGGTGGGCGTCGCGTACGGCGTGGCGCTCGTAGATAGTGGATAAGTCGTGGATGGCAACGGGCAAGTATAAGCAAGAATAGCCATAAATGATTACGATATCATAGTCGACATGAAAACCGTTGCGAATTGACCGACTGATGTAGACAGTGACATAGCTGCGCTGATCGCCGCACGCGAAGAGAGCTAAATCATGATTCTCGTGACTGCTTACCAGGTGCCCTATTCTGATGGTAGTGGTACACTCTCCCAATGCCATGCCGACGTTACGGGTGGTCTTCGTCGTCCACTGGTTCCTCGCTTTTCGTAGAAGATGATGTCTCAAAGATACTCTCGAACTGAATGTCTCAAAAATGCTCTTGTGAAGCTGACGTCGTTGCTAAAGTGAGGGGACAATTGCCCGGCTACACATATCCTTGGCACGAAAGCTCAGCGGGTTTTCTAAAACTTCAGCGTGATACATCATGGATATCGATTGGAAATGTTCTAGACTTTGCAGAGGACCGTGGCGACTTTCTCACCATCCTAACTGTGAAAGAGTGTAAGTTGTCCTTGGACATTTGACCGTGTCTTAGCGGAAAGACTTGTGTGAAGAGAGGCGCTTTCTGGGTTAACACGCATCACGTCATTCTCAGATTTGTGCTGGTTCTGGTTAGGTCTCTGTAGTGTGTACATTCCCACAGTCACTAAAAGGGCACGGGTACATAGTGCACGTAACCCGCGACCCACGTTTGCCGATTCAACCAACCATGCATCTTTCGGGTTCAATTTGTAAACCGGGTTTTCTGATTCCGGCTCTTAACTGGCGTTCACAGTCCGTCAGGCTAGCGATTCACTTGCAAGACTTGAGCTTTTACGCGGATTACGTGACTGATTAACCAATATCATTAACAACAGACTCCTGCCTTATTACCGGCGAATCGTTCTGGGCTCGTTTTTTTCGATCTTTCTCAAAGGGTCACCTGACATCTTGAACTTTTGTGCATGGTCCTGTGGAGAAATGGAGGAGAGCGCCTGCCAAAGCAAAAGAAAGAGGAAAAGAACTATGACGAGCCAGGAATCGAGCTTTTTCAAGGGGAGGGACTTCAGGAGTGGGTGAGCCACTTATCATACGTGAAAAGCTGGAATGTGCGAAGTCACAATGACCATAGAGTGCCACGCGGACGAGAGAGAGAGAGAGCAGAGAAAAACATAATATTCCGCGAAATCACTCCGTCTATTCTTTGTTGGTGCTATAATACGTAGACTCATAGGCCCTGAGGCCGCGTTCACTCTCCTTTTGAAAGGCTAAAAGATAATTTCCCGCGCCCTCACGTGACCCGTGAACTACAGTAGCGCCGATTCTTCAGCAATAGAGGTATTCCACAATGACTGCGTTCCTGAAGAACAGTTCCAACCAGGGCACAGCGTTCGATGGGGATACCCTATGGGAGGGAGTCGTATTGGCCGCCAAAGGGTGGGGTCGTTTTGGGCTTGAGCGGAAATTTTTTTATAGTTGTGATTTTCTTCCTCTGCGACGTTTTGGAGGAGGGGGGTCGTATTTCTGGCTAGGATACGTGGTGCGTTAACTTTGAGATTTTATGAATTTTCTGGATTTATAAGCTACTAATGTCGCCGTACGATGTACGTCATGGCTACCCCCCCTCGGTCGACAACTTATTTCGGCCGGGTATAACGAGTCTAGAACCACAGCGGCAGTCAGACCATGTCAGCCATCGTACGAGCATGGGGGGTCGTACCACCCCTGAAAAAAGGGGGGCGGGGTCGTAAAAGCTCGACCAAAATCCCCATCGAATGCTGTGCCCTAGTTCCAACCCAAGCTAACATTTAAAGACAGCGCCCGCGATGGACTTTGGCAGGTTTCAGGGGTCACATTTGCTAGAACAGGTGGCCAATGAAGCACTAATCAAAAAAAGCAGGAAAAAGGTGTGGAAGAGCGTGAAATAAGACCCTATGAAATTTAAGGCATGTGGACGAGTTTCGCAAACTTCTGGTGAGTTCTCCAATACACGTCGCCGCCTCGGAACTCTAGAAATTCAGCGTATATCAATGCCAGCAAGCATTGATAACTGTCAACCAGTCGGGGCGGGATTAACAGGACAGGAGGCGTCAGCCCGGCTCTGTTGACTCCGCCCTCGTCAACCAATCGATTTCGAGCCGCAAGAGTGGGATTTCTGCTGTGATTGCGGACTCCGCGTTCGTTTTCAATGGAGGGTTTTTTCACTTTGGTTGATCGCGGACGCTGCCTTTAAGACAAATGTGCTCCGTGACTAATCCTTCTTCTCAAAGTCTGTGCTGCTGTCCTGTTGGCCTCAATGTAGTTGGGGAGGAACACCTCTCAGCTTCGCTTTCTTATCCTTTTCCCGAAAGTTCCTCAGAGCGCAAACGACCATGGTCGCCAAGGGATAGTACCGCAGAGAGCAGTCGCCACTAAGCCTAACTAAGCTGGCGAGTGGTCTCCCAACTACATTAGCTTCTCAATAATTCTGCAGTTGTCTCATGTGAGTTGAGCTTCAATTTCACTACCATGTTAGGTGATGTTTAAATGTGAAGCTAGTTCATGATATTACATTGGGTTGATCGCAAAGTGCTCATAGGAGTGCGTTCATACTTCGTTAGCGTTTTGAGCGTTTCGAGCGATTTATAGGTGTCGATCCCCGCGGAAATTGGTGGCGAACGCTCAGACTAGATCGATACATGTATTTTTTCAGTCGCTCAGGACAGTCAAAACGCTGATAGTCGCTGAAGACGTTGCCGCACAGTATGAACGCACTCTAAAGCTGATAACTTTAAACCCCTTCCAATGCGATCCACAGAAATTCTAATGCGTAGCTTGTGAAGACTTACTTCTATCCCTACTTGTTTTTGTGTTTTGACTTTTTGTGAGTGCAGTGATTAACTGGCGTTCTCTGAGATAAAAACTGTCGCGGTCATGTTTCTCTGTTTTTACTATTAGGAGTTCCTTTCCATACGACTGTCGGTAGTAAATCATATCGTGCTATCTCCCGTGCTACTTGTTATTGTATAAATTCTTTTGGAATGATTGATTATATTTCTTAAGTGTGGTTTTCGACCACCTAGTATTATATGAGACGATGATTCGGGAACTATTGCAATAGTAGCTATTGGAGGTCGTGTTGATCGGTGTCGGGTGGTCGGGGCGGCAATCTTGCTCCGTCGGAGGCCTCGCCTTTCTACTGATCGATAGAACGTGGTCCGTCCGTCTCTTTCCCATGTTGCGAGCGTAGGCATTTTCAATGACGTTGTTCCCGCCGTACGCCCTGATCGCCCGACACTTGAGTCCGGGTTGAACTTTTTTCGCAGCTATTTCTTCTGCTATCTTATCTGCTGTTCTTTATCGATCAGCTTTTGTTCTTTTCCAGTGTACTCCTCTTTTTTATTCCCACTTTAATGGTCGCTCTTTGACATTTGTGATCGTTAAATAGCGTGTCGCGTTTTTTTTTGCAGTTAGTTGCGTTCTTTGTACTTTTTTTCAGGTAAACTGACGAGTTCATCATGTCACTCTCGACAACGATTGTCAGAGGAGCTAACAAACTCATTGTCAAGGTAAATTGTTTACAGCACATTGTGCGTCATTATCAGTGCATGATCGCTACTCGCGTGGTGTAATCTTTACCCGCTGCACAAAAAGATTTTGAGTGTTCTTTGGTGGGAGTGATATTTGGAATTTGCTCGCGAAAGAGATAGCAACATCACCGTAGTGCTAGTTGTTTCACAAATGCATTACTAATGATAGAAAGTCAGTCCTTATGACTAAAACTGCTTAAGCTTCGTCTGCCTCTTAATTTTCGGTTTAGTCAGTCTGCGTTCATACTTTGCGTCAGCGCATGCCAGTGACTAGGAAAGTACAGTTATTGATCTGACATATGCCAGCGTTTTCGCGGGCAGTTTGAGCATGAGCGAAACTGCCCGCGAAAACACTGCTGTACGCTGGCGTTCACTAATATGGTACGGTGGTAAGAAATGAGGTGAGGGGAAGTTCGCTCAGTAATGCTAAAAACTACCTCGTAGCACTCGCTTTCCCCTCCAACAGAAGTCTCGAGTTCGACAGAGTTAGCTGGCAGTTTGTTCAAATGCAGTTTGTGCTCTTTCATGTAGGCAAAACATATTCAAATAGTTTTTAACCACACATTTTACACAGACACACACATTCTTTCTCGGGGCAATCACGTTTGAGAAACAAATAAATCAAGTTTAAGCTCTCAGGGAACATAGCATATGGCACCACGGCATTGCAAGGCAGACCATGTTATTGATTAGCTGACTATTCTTACTATTGCTAAGTAGTTGACTCGAGGCGAATTTGGTGTGGGCAGATCAGTTCATAGCAGACGAACTAAACTGTTTGAAGGCAGAGACTACGTTCATTTGGTGCTCCCACCTTTCTTCGGATGTGGTAGCCCTCTCTGCAAGGATGGAAGCTGTACTAATTTCGAAACTCAAAAACGCGGAAGTAAAGCACCGCCCGCTCGTGAAGCGGTTGCCGCCCCGCCCACTGACTGACGCAACGCCCAACTTCATACCAAATGGTTTCCGGTGGTTGCGGTTATTCTGACACCAACTCTGTCCAATTCGAATGGCGATAGAGAGGGGCTATTATGCGAAAAACTCGTTCGACCACACTCTTGCTCTGCCTTGTGCTCGTAGAGCCTCAGTTCGTCATGTCGTTCTAGAAAGGGCTATCAGGATTTTTTTCCTGCTCTCATTCACTACTGAATTACATGTTACCTTGTTCTACTTACCGCTAACTCATCATTTTTGAACGAAGACTCTGCCTTCGAACTATTTTCTACTATTTGACGTTTTGGGCTTCACTGAAATCGCATAAACGTGAGGTGATAAAACTTGAGACCAAGGAAAGCAGCGTGTTGGTCACCGGGTTTCCCTTGGTTGAGGCTGTTTAATATATGGTTTGGCATGCGGTCTACCACCATGACCCGAATGATTTGACGGTGAAAAACAAAGTTAGCTAGCGCCCGATGCCGCCCCTAGAATGTCCTGAACCACATATATGATCCCGGGACGCAAAAGGAACCATTTATTGCAGGCAGTGAACCAGAGCATAGATTTCGTTTACATTTGTGGGAGCAGTTATTCTGTAATTTACAGTGCTAATCGTAGTTTGCGAGGGCAGGGCTGCAGACAAGTTGAACTTGATCCCTTTGAATGTGGAGATCTTGCGTTTTTTGTCTGTCATCTCCCGTGTCCGTATGGCGTTCTACGGCCAGTGTGACTGCATACATTCCAGTTTTTCACAAATGCTGACTAGCTCACCTTCCACGGATTCCTCCACCCCTGAAAAAGCCCAAATACCGGTTCCTAATATGTTTCTCGCACATTTCGATGTTTTGGCAAACGCCTTGCCCTATCTGTCTGCGTCACACAGTTCCGAACCATGCGCAAAAGTTCAAGATCTCACGTAAGGTGGCCAGCCGCCACGTGGCGCGGCATGTTCGCTGTGCGTCACCGAAGAGGAATGATCTCCGAATTGGGTGTGTGCAAAAAAAATTGGTTTTAGATGTCTTGGGTGCCCAGTTCTAAATTCCCACTTATTAGAATATCAGCCTACCATATCGTAAAACATGAGTTGTAGCTAGTTGATTGAAAGCAATTCACAAGGGATTTCAAATTGCCTCGCTACTAGTTCTCGATTTCACGTTTCAATTTACATTATTATTTTTCCTCATCATAGTTCTATCAGCCAGGCAGTGTAGTACGTAGAATTCCACCTCACGTGGATTTGACGCCAGACTGCTGTGTCGGGTCAGTTAGCTTGGAGCTGGTTTGCGACTCCCGGTCTCCTGAACTGTTTTCGAAAAGCACTAGAAAAAAAACAAGGCTGCGTTCACACTTAGCGTCAAGCACTTTGAGCGTTCCGAGAGTTTAAGAAACTATAGGTATTGATCTAGCAGTCAGCTGGCAGTGTTTTGAGCGTGCTCCAGCGCAGCGTTTCGGGCGACTAAGGAATTATAGTATTGATCCAGCATTTTAGGCATAACCACCTTTTAAGCGTAATTCAGAGTTTTGAGCATTTTTGCGGGCAATCGATGAAAACGCTGGTGTACGCTGAGAACGCTGGCGCAAGTATGAACGCACCCTAACTTACCACTGTAGGCGGTACAACTTTTGTTTGCTCTTGTTGGAGACGTTGTTCTACCGTTTGCTGCACCAGCTGCCCAACTGCTAGCTGCTTACTGAATGTAGTGGAGTTCAGTTAATCCACCGTGTTTCGTAAGTGATGTCAGCACTTCCTAGTCAGTTTTGAGGCCTCTGTTAGTTACTGTGAAACTCGTTTTTGATACTGAAAACGCATAATGATGGTACTTTTCGCCTTTAGTTCATCTTTTAAAGTTGTTGAACATTCCAATCACTGCAACCAAACTATGTCCATGTGGTTTCTTAAGAACACTGGAAACAAGTTACACAACAACTAAATACTTTATTTTTCTAAGGTGTTAATTAGAACCTTGTAAACCATAAGGCGATGCTGCATCGGCAGACGCTCATTCCTCTTTTTTGTGCTGATTACCTAGAGTACTGTAGTAACCTTCTTTAACCTATTACTTTTATCTCATTATAGAATTGATTCATGAAATAGCCTAAGGGACTAGTTTAGGCAGCCGTAACTCCGGCATGCTCAAGCGTTCACTTCTCAACGCAAACGGATCAGTCCACGAATTTGAAAGAAGTATTAGCCAAGAAGATTCCTGCTCACAACGCCAAAGTGAAGGAGTTCCGTTCACAACATGGCAATACCGTCGTTCAGAACATCACCGTCGACATGGTAAGAAATTAGTGTTAATTGGTCTTATGGCAATCTTTTAATAACGTAAAGAAATAGATCTTGTTTTCCTTATGGCAATGTTCTGATGACATCCACTTCCAGTTTCATAAAGCAAGTTGTTGAAACCGTGCGCTTTAGATCTATGGTGGAATGCGTACAATGAAAGGTATGGTCACTGAAACTTCAGTACTTAGATCCTGAGGAAGGCATCCGATTCCGTGGATACTCGATTCCGGAATGTCAGAAGATGTTGCCGAAAGCTGCTGGAGGTGAAGAGCCTATCCCTGAAGGAATTTGGTGGCTTCTGTGCACTGGAGATATCCCGAATGATAAGCAGGTGATGTATTTGCAATTTAGGAAAATGTTTTGCTCGGAAGTCAGAATTTACGATTTCTAGATGGGTTTTTGCAGATTGATTTTCTCGTCTAAGTTGCCAGTTTTAGACTTCTGCTATCACCAAGGAATGGAATGCTCGTGCCGATCTCCCAGCTCATGTTTCCCGCATGTTGGACAACTTCCCTGACAATCTCCACCCTATGGCTCAGTTTGTGGCAGCTATTGCCGCTTTGAACAATGAGAGCAAATTCGCGGCTGCCTATGCTCGTGGTGTCCCCAAGAGCAGCTATTGGGAGTATGCTTATGAGGTTTGTAATGAAAGTTCACCATCTTTAAAGACAGAATCATTCACCATTTCTCTAGGACTCTATGGATCTTCTAGCTAAACTGCCCACTGTAGCTGCGATCATCTATCGCAATCTTTATCGGGATGGATCAGCTGTGGGAGTGATCGACCCGAAAAAGGACTGGTATGTTTTTTTTACGAAAAACCTCGTAGGGAGATTTCGTAGACTCTGTAAGGGGCCAGTGGCTTATACCTTTTGCTGACCATGTTCTTCCTCACATACTAGTGTACTGAACAAGAACGGCGGCAGAGATCAGCAACATGACATGAAAAGAAGTTTTCCGATTTGCCGGAATAGATTTAACAAGCTCAGAATCTCGAAAAGAATGATGGTTCTGCCACTAATTAGCCCTTCTTGAGATGCTCCAGGCATTCTACCTTTACTTAACAATTGGAGTCTTAGCGACATTATGACCTGAACCTCAATTGGGCCAAACAAATGTACAGGTCAGCGTTTCATCCACGCAGAAGAACTTGGTTCCAGATTTCCATCTTCAGAGGGTAGAGAGCTGGTGGGCTCGGATGGCCGCTGCACCGCGTCCCTGTTAGGGGGGGGGGAGTTGCTCCTACAATGTCTCTGTCCAGAATTGTTCATGCGCTAGTTAAGTCGTTTCACGCTCAAAATCAATAGGATTTATTTGCTACTCTCTGCTGTTTCTTTTTGTTTTTCTCCACTTTCGATTCGACTATGCACTTTCGTCTAAAAGCTTCTTTCTACGGTTGATAGTCACGGATTGGCTCTTTGAAATATCGCTGAAATCCTAAATAAATCACTTTTGCTTCAGGTCCGCCAACTTCTGTTCGATGTTGGGATATGATGACCCGCTTTTCTGCGAGTTAATGAGGCTTTATCTCGTCATCCACTCTGATCACGAAGGTGGTAATGTTTCCGCTCACACATCTCACCTAGTTGGTTCCGCTCTTTCGGACCCTTACCTCTCGTTCTCTGCTGCTATGGCGGGTCTCGCTGGCCCACTGCACGGACTTGCTAATCAGGAGGTAAATATCAGGCATTTACATTTTGACAACCGAGTACAATGAAGTGTAACCTAAACTGTGGGTTCAGGTGCTTGTCTTCCTCAACAAGATTGTTAGCGAGCTTGGATTTAATTTAAACTGCTGCTGAGTTAAGGTCGTTCCTGGATATGGTCATGCTGTGCTGCGCAAGACCGATCCTCGTTATGAGTGTCAGCGTCAGTTCGCTATGAAACATCTACCCAAGGATGACTTATTCAAGCTTGTGTCAACTCTTTACAAGATCACTCCCGATATTTTACTTGCCCAGGGCAAGGTATGTTTAGCTTTCTTGGGTCTCTGTGTCTGGCGCCATGTTGACGAAATCCCATTCCATAGTTATGGACACCATTCCGAATAGGTTACTGATCATTTTTACTGTA